GGGCCTAGGGGAGGGATAGCATTAGGAGAAATACTTAATGTAAATGATGAGTTGATGGGTGCAGCAAACCAACATGGCACATGTATACCTATATATCAAACCTGCACGTTGTACACATGTACTCTAGAACTTAAAGTATAATAATAATAATAATAATAATAATAATAATAATAAAAGAAGTTGAATCTATGATGAAAAACCTTCCCACAAAACAAACCTAGATGCTGTACTAGTGGATCATCCTAAACATTTAAAGAAGCAATAATACAGATCTTATGTTCTACCAGAGAATAGAAAAAAAATGAAAACATTTCTTAGCACATTTTATGAGCTCTGAATAACTGTAATACAAAAACTTGATAAGGGCATTTGCAAAAAGAAAATGTACAGGTCAATATATCTCATGAAACAAAACAGATACAAATACCCCAACAGAAACAAAATTCCTGAGAATATATACATAGGAGAATACAGGGTGACCAAATGAGGTTTATCCCAGGAATGCAAGTTTGGTTTAATAGTTAAGAAAAAAGAAATCAACCCAATCAATCAATCAATGTAATTAACCATATTAATAGAATGAAAGAGAACCTTTTGTCAGGTGTTGCAGAAAAATCATCTGATAAAATTCAGCACCTGTTCACAATTTTTTAAAAAACCAACCTCAGAAAGCTATGAATAGAAAAAACTTCTTTAATCTAGAGAATCTAGAGGTATCTACAACAAGTAAATGAACAAATTAGAATTAACATCTTATTTAATTATGAAATATTGGAAAAATTCACTATCACAGCAGAAATAAGAAAAGAATGTTCAGTATCACCACTTCTTTTTGACCTTGCACTGAAGATCCTAACCAGTGCAATTAGAAAAATAAAGGTAGGAAAATTGGAAAAGAATAAACAAAACTGTAATTATTTCAGATGATCTGACTGTATACGTAGAAAATCCAAAGGAATCCAAAAGCGAGTTATTAGAAATAATAAATGACTTTAGTAAAGTTGCTGGATGTATTGTAAATATACAAAAATCAATTGTATTTTTATGTACTAGTAAAAAAGATTGAAAAATGAAACAAGAATATTTCATTTTTAACAGTATAAAATATAAATATATAATATATAATAGTGTAAAACACAAATACAAATATATTTATATTAAATATAACATATTTATTATAATATGATTTATATTAAATATAATATAAATATAAGTATAAATATTTTTATAGTATAAAATGAATAGTATGAAATGAAATAAAAATTTTATTTCTAATAGCATAAAATGCAAATATGAAAATAAAAATATTTACATTAAATACATATTTATTATGATATAATTTATATTAAATATATAAGTATAACTATATTCATAGTATAAAATGAAATGAATAGTATAAAATGAAATAAGAAGTTTATTTTTAATAGTATAAAATATAAATGTATTTTATATTTTATTAATGCAATAAGAGATAAGTAAAACTTACACTGAATATTTCAAAACATTATTAAGATTTCATTTTCTCCTAAATTTATCCATAAAATTGAATATATAAATTCAGTATAACTCCCATAAAAATCTCAGCAAATTTTGTTGGAGAAAAACTGACAAGCTGACTTAAAAATTTATGTGGAAACATAAAGGATCTATCATAGCTAAAACAATCTTGTCAAAGAAAAACAGCCCCATTAAAAAAAGGGCAAAGGACATGAACAGACACTTCTTAAAAGAAGACATACAAGCTGCCAAGAAACATGGAAAAATGCTCCACATCACTAACCATCAGAGAAATGCAAATGAAAGCCACAGTGAGCTATCATCTCACACCAGTCAGAATGGCTATGATTAAAATGCCCCAAAGTAACAGTTGTTGGCAAGGCTGTAGAGAAAAGGAAGTGCTTATACACCATTGGTGGGAATGTTAATTAGTTCAGAGTTTGGAGATTTCTCAGAGAACTAAAAATAGAATTACTATTTGACCCGGAAATCCCAATTACTGGGTATATTACCCAAAAGAAGATAAATCATTTACCAAAAGCACATGCGCTTGTATGTTTATCATAGCACCATTCACAACAGCAAAGACATGGAATCAACCTAGGTGCCCATTAATGGTGGACTGGATAAAGAAACTGTGGTACATATACACCATGGAATACTACACAACCATGAAAAAGAAAGAAATCATGTCCTTTGCAGCAACATGGATGCGATTATTCTGAGCAAATTAACACAGAAACATAAAACCTAATATGGTGTGTTCCCACTATTAAAAGTGGGAGCTAAACACTGGGTACACATGGACATAAAGATGGGAACAATAGACACTGAGGACCACTAGAATGGGGAGGGAGGGAGGGAACAAGACTTGAAAAACTACCTATTGAGTAGCTCACTACCTGGGTGACAAGATCACTTGTACCCCAAACCTCCGCACAATGCAATATACCCTTGTAACAAATCTGCACATGTACCCCCAAATCTAAAATAAAAGTTGAAATAAAAAAGAAGAGAAAACCAAATATAGAGAATTCACACCTACCTGACTTCGAGACTTATTTTAAAGCTTCAGTAACCAAAGCAGCTTTTTGTTTGCTCAAATTTAGATAAATAGACAAATGGAATAAAATAGAGTCAAGAAATAGGCCCATATATCTACGGTCACCCGATTTTCAACAAAGATGACACTAGAATTCAATGGGGAAATTAGTCTTTAACAAATTGTGCCAAATCAATTGGCCATCCATATGAAAAAAAGAAAACAAAAACCTCTGGCCTTTATCTCACACCTTACACAAACATTAACTTGGGATGAATCACTGACCTAAATAACAAAGCAAAAACTTCAAACTTCTAGAAGAAAACAGAGAAGAATATCTTCATGATATGGGGAGAGGTGAAGATTTCTTAAACGAGACACACTAAAAGCACTAATCATAAAAAATATTGATAAATTAGATTTTATTAAGGTTAAGAACTTTTGTTTATCAAAAGATACCATTAAGAGAATGAATAGGCAAGCCACAGACTGGGAATAGATATTTGCAATGCTTCTGTGTCACAAAGGATGTGCATACAAAATATATACATACACTTTAAAGGCCTTTAATCAATAAGAAAAAGACACACAACACAATCTTTAAAATGGGCAAAAGACCTGATACAGCATTTCACAAAAGGGGATACAAAAATGGCCATTAAATTTAAGAAAAGTTGCTCAACATAATAGAGAAATGCAAATTAAACCCACTGTGAGATACCACCACACACAACTAGAATGACTAAAATTAAAATGACTGATAATGTCATGTGTTAGTGAGGACACGTCACAACCAGAAGGCTCTTATTTTACTAGAGAGAGTTTAAATTGGTAAACCACTTTGAAAAAAATGCCTGGCAAGTCCTACTAAAAAGTTAAACATAACTACCCTTTAACTCAGCAATTCTATCCCTGAGTAAAAACCCTATAAAAGTGAGCACATATGCCCATCCAAAGACACGTACATGAATGCCAATAGCAGTGTTATCTGAAATAGCCCTAAATGGAAACAATCCAAATACAGTAAAATAAACACTAAACTTAAGTACATTGTGGTAGATAATACAATGGAGTACTGCTTATCAATGGAAGCATGAAGTATGGTTCATTTAACAACATGTTAAACCTCACAGGCATAATGTTGAGTGAAAGAGGTCAGATACAAATGAGCACCTATTGCATAATTTCTTCTCTATGAAGTTCAAAACTACAGCATGGGGGTCCCTGGAGGGGCACTGACTGGGTGGGGTGAGTGGGCACCACCTTCTGGGAAGCTGGAAATGGTGTATATCTCTGGGAGGTGATTGCATAGTTGTATATCACATGGAAGTTCATTAAGCCATACACTCAAGATGCCTACACTTTATTGTATGTATGTTATACCTCGGTAGAAAGATAATAAGTAAGATATTTCTTTACAAAAAGCAAGAAGAATATGAGAGAATTAGCCAGATGGTGGTGGGGTGAGCAGAGAAGTCAGGAGGGGGCGTCGTAGAAGGGAAGAGCATGTTTGAAGAAGATCTGGGGAAACAGCAATGCTGCCATCGTGCCATGTGGCTGGAGCGTTGAGTGCAGGTAGTGGGGTGGGGGAGGCACAGGAAGGGAGAGAGGCTGGGGAGGGTAGACGGGCCAGAGTGGGAAGAGGGCAGCGTAGAACATTGATCACCAGTGTTCGTGTGATCTCTTGACTATGCAAGGGCTTCTAAAAGGGCCATGCAGAGGCCTGGCCCTTTCCATCCCAGGAAGGATGGCCTTCTGCCAGCTAAAAACCAAGTGGGGAGGAGGATGACTAACCATAAATGTGGTGAGAGATCTTATTGGGGTGATAAAAATATTCTAAAACTGATTCGTGGTGATGGCCTCATAACATGGTAAATTTTCTTAAAAAAAAAAAATCATCGACTTGGACACTTGAAATGAGTGAATTAAGTGATAAAATATGTTGTAGTAAAGTTATTTTTAAAATGGAGGTGAATTCTTTCTTCCTCCTGATTGCCCCTGCTCTGGAGGGCTCTCAGGGATCTTTCCCACCCTCTCACTCCACTTGGTCTGGCTCTCCCTCCCCTTTGCCCCATTGCTGCCTGGGTTTCAGCTAGAGGGCACACTCACACCCACCCTCTCGGAGACACCCCCAGCAGCTCTCCAGGTAGACAGGACCAGGGGCTAACAATTGGTCCCCAGGTGGCTGCTACCTGCGCTGTCACATAACCCAGAGAAGGAGGGCTCGTTCATTCCCATTTCACAGATGAGAAGATAGAGGGCTTGAGAAATTGAACACTCAAGCTTTCACAGTCAGGAGCAGAGCCTGTGCAGCCTCTGACCTACTGGGACAGAGTCAAGTCACTGGAAATGTCAATCTCCATGTGAGGGCCAGTGGGGCAGCCACGGGGCACAGGGGCAGGATGGAGGGGCTGGGTGTGGAATGGTACAGGGCTGGGTGTGGGCGGCCGCCCTCACTCACCACTTCTTGCCACTGATGTCATGCTGCTGCACTGTGTAGCCAAAGAAGGCGGTCCTGGAGCCAGGGATGACCCGGGGCTTCCTGGTGTCCATGTTGAAGGTGTCCGTGAACCCTGAGGCAGGGGGAGAGGAGAGGAGAAGAGAGGAGAAGCAGGGGAGTCAGACAGGCAGAGGTGTAGGCCTTGGGCTGTGTCAGGACCCACTGGCAGGTCATGAACCTTGGAGGGTCTTGGCTGTGGGATGAGCATGTTTCCCCATCTTGGGGAGCACCTGTATGAGATGGCTGACAGTCTCTGCCTGGAAGGGCCCACAGTCTGATGCGAGACATTCCACCCTGTCCTGGTGATACGGTTTCATTGTGCATCCCTTCCGAATCTCATGTTGAAACAGGATTCCCAATGTTGGAGGTAGGGCGTGGTGGGAGGTAAACACCACGTGGTGGTTTTTACCACGTGGTGGGAGGGTTATGGGGGCAGATCCCTCATGAATTGCTTGGTGCCATCCCCTTGGTGATGAGTGAGTTCTCACTCTGAGTTCTCACAGACTTTGGTGTTTAGGAGTGTGGGGCCTCCCCACTCTCTTTCTTGCTCCCACTCTTGCATGTGACACACTGGCTCCCCTCTGCCTTCCACCATGATTGGAAGCTCCCTGAGGCCCTCATTAGAAGCAGACGCTGGCACCATGATTCCTGTACGGTTTGCAGAACAGTGAGCCAAAATAAACCTCTTTTCTTTTCTTTCTTTTTCCCGCCCCCCGCCCTGAGACAGAGTCTCACTCTGTGGCCCAGGCTGGAGCACAGTGGCTTGGTCTTGGCTCATTGCAACTTCCTCCTCTTGGGTTCAAGCAATTCTTGTGCCTCAGCCTCCCAAGGAGCTGGGACTGCAGGGACATGCCATCGTGCCTGGCTGATCTTTGTATATATTTTTTAGTAGAGACAGGGTTTCACCGTGTTGGCTGGGCTACTGTTTTCTTTATAAATTACTCAGTCTCAGGTATTCCTGTATAGCCCCACAAAGAAAGGCCTAATACAGACCCTGTACACGGATAGGGGAGGCATAAAACCTGCTCTCAAAGAGACCCAGTGTGAATGGAAGACCTGTCCTTCCCCCAGGGAATTCCTGATTCTACCAGGCAGAGACAGCTGCCCTCCTTCTCCATCACTCCTTCCTCCCACCTGCTTCTTCCGGCTTTTGTTGGTTTCCTCTTTTTATCCCTCTCATTTTCCTCCTCTTTCCTGCTCTCCCTTCTCTTCCCTCCTCCTCCCCTCATTACCCCCTCTCCTATCTGCCGAAGAGTCAGGGAACTGACATCCCCCTTCCCCTGCAAGCCTGAGGTCCCAGTGGCCATGGGCTCTGGCACTGGGCTCCCCACTTCCCTCTGAACCAGCTGGCAAAGCTCCATCTGGCTTCGGCAGGAGCTACTTTTTGGCCGGGGCAACTGAAGCGAGCACAGAGAAAGCCCCATGACCCTTTTGCCCTGCCCCAAGGGTCGCCCCTGTTTGTTTAAGTCACCTGTCAATTAACTAATTCTTCCTGGCGGGAAGACTGTGTTAAGCCAAATGCTTTACCCCTTTGGGCAAATCACAAGAAATAACCAAATAACAACTCACATCTGTATAGTACTTTCGGTTTCTGGGCCTCCTCACATCTGCCATCATTTGCTGTCACAGGACCTTGGAGAATGAGCGCATCATCCTCACTTGGCAGATGCAGTTGGTACAGCACCAGAGAGGTTAAGAGGTTTGTTCAGGGGTGCATAACAGGCCAGTGGTAGCATCAGAACTAGGACCTCAGACACCTACTCTGTGACGCCTCCCCACCACAAGGCATTTTCAGGGCACATCTGGCCTTGATACTCATCCAAACTTGGGACCCATTAAATTTGAGGGGTGGGATCTTGCCACGAGTCAAAACTTCTAGATAAGTGAAAATGAATTGGCAGAACAGACTTTTATCATTGTGGCCCCTTTCACATATAGGGTACTTATTAAGTTGCAAGGACCATTCACATGTATGTTATCATTCGAGCTCTGTGACAACCCCGTCAGGTGGGCAGCAAAGGGAAGACAGAGGGTGAGAGAGGTTAACTAACCTGCCCAAGGACCCAAGCCCGTTGGTTAGGGCCTCTGAATTTGAGGGTTGGGCCTGCACACGAGTGCCCCACTCTCCTTCCCCTGGGCACTGACCCCCTGCTCAGTATTCAAGGGTGAAGCCCTGGGGCACTTACTTGAATAAGGCCTATCGTACAAGTTCCATCATTAGAGTCAGAGAATTAAAGGCCCCAGAGGTAAAACTGAGGAACCTTCAAGTAGGGACGTTAGATACGTGTTATCTTATTGAGCATGCCAATTGCTTGTGGGCACTTCTGGAGCACTGAGTTAGGAAAGATTCTGAGGTCAAGTCTGGGCTCAGTAGGCAAGAGGAGGGTGACTGATAGCAGTACCTGCTACGGGTACAGGGGAGGACAGTGGTGGCAAGTGACTATGTAGCTGTCAACTCTGTCTTCATGATTCCTAATCTGCCACATGGATTTAGTGTCATGGCCCTGGAGTAGGGGTTGGGGAAGAAGAGTATGTGGACCCGTTTGTGCTTTGTTTACAGAGTCCATGGCATAAATAAACTTATCAGCCTGGTTAGCAGCAGGCGACCTTGGAGAAGAGGACTCTGTTCAGGTGAACACAGGATCCTGAAGAACACAGGTCCCTGGCCAGTGAAGGCATATCACAGAGGAAAGAGAGAGAGACACCAGTGTCACCTGTGCAGAGCTGGGAGCCTGGTAGGCACAGGGGGTTACAGAAGTAGTGTTTCGGTGGCAGAGAGAAATTTACCCTCTCTCCAAATCTGTCTCAGGAATGAACACACACGTATGCACACATGCACACACACACACACAAATATACATGTATGCATGCATGTGCACACACACAGACACACACATGCACAGGCCACATACACTCTGATCGTGGACGGCACTTTGCCTGGCTTCCTGCTGCCCACTTCCTGCATCTGACATCTGACCCAGCAGGAAGAGGAAAGTATGTTCTAGCTGTCAGGAAGTCCAGACCACCTACCACTTCCAGGCCTACAGAGGGGTGAGGGCCAGTGAAGATGAAGCCACAGATTGTGTCTTTGGGGCCTTGTCCACCCCATGCCCTCTATCAGTGCTTCTTGTGCAACCATGGCCAGAGGGACCCTTCCAAGACCTGTGAGATCCCATCACCTCTCAGCTCCACCCCATCTATCAATGAGTTTTCCACCCCATCAAAGCCAAGGCCAAACTCCTCATTGCAAGGCCCTCCATGATCTCACCCCATTCACTCTGCCGCACTAATTTCTACCCTCTCCTCCTCCTCTGCTCCAGTCACACTGACCCTCTTGCTGTCCTTCCAACGTCAGACTCGTTCTCTGCTTAGCGTCTTTGCCGTGGCTGTTCCCGCTTCCTGGAGTGCTCTTCCTCCCATACCTGCAAGGCTCCCTCCAGTCTTAGAATCTCTGTTTCAATGCTGTCTTGTCCATCACCAGGCCACCACAACACCCCAGGGATCCCTTCCTGTGCTCCATTTTTCCTCATAGCACTTATCACAAACACATGACATTTATTTGTTTATGGCCACGTGGCTGATAGTTAGAATATTCCTATAGTCTCTAAGTGCCATGGGACTCTGCTGTGTCCTCACTGCTGTACCCTCAGTGCCTTGAATGCAGGTCCAGCTCATAGATATTGGTTGACTGAACAGTTAGAGACCAGGGCCCTCATTTGTCTGGGACACTCTTTCCCCTCAGTGAGGAAAAGGAGAAAGGAACGAATGATGAGCACTGATATACTCCAGGCACGATTCTAGGCACCTAACCATGAGTTTTATATAATCAATTAAATCTCACACCAACCCTGTGAGACAGATATGATCACACCTCTGGGATATTAAATAGTTTTCCCCAAATCACTCAGTTGGGGACAGATTAGCTGGAAAAATGACCACATATCTTGGGGTGCCGGGGTGATGTGTTCTCTTCCCTCCCTAGATCAGCCTTTCATAAGAAGCACTCACTGGAGAGAAGGGAAGATTCCTTTCAGAGAAGAAGGTCTCTGCTTCCTGCCCTAGGTCCCACTGCCTCTGTCTTTGAGTTCCAGTTGGGAGATGCAATGGGAAGGAAAGCCAGCCACCCGTGTTCCATCCTGCAGCCAAAGTGAGGTGCCCAGTGAGGGGGTGGTGGGGGCCCAGGGGGAGGTGGGACTAGTCCTAGACAGAGCCCCAACCTCACTGGGGACAGGATTAGTGAAATCTGGCCCCAAGGAAGAGGCGTTAAATTACAAAGTGCTGGTTTCTTCCCCAGAGACAAGTGGGCATTTGCTTCTGACCAAACCGAACCAACCAGAGAGTGGATTTCCTAAAAATGATGTCAGTCAAGTCCATCTCTCTGACCTCGGCTCCTGACAAGATCTCTGGCCTCCTCCTTTTATGGTAGATGGGTTTCATGTTTGGGAAAAGTACTTTTCTCAGAGATTGATGACTGCCAAATACCAACAAGATAAAATAAAGTTGTTTTAATGGGAACGAACAGGCCGATTGCAGACATGTTGGGAGCCTGGTTGGGCAGCTTGCCACTGTTCTGCCCTTGATATTGATGACAGAGGGGGAAAAAAACCACAATTCCTGGGCTGCTGTCCTGTGGGCCATGGCCAATGTTACGTCAGCTGTTGCTCCCTTTCTCAGAATCTTGTCTGTCAAAAAAAGCATCAGTCCGTCTCAAGAAGGGACAGAAACAACATCAAGCCAGAGCACCACTTGGGGCTCACAGTTCTCAAAGCCACTCCACTCCCTGCAGGTTAAGGTGGAGGCCAGGTGGGGCAGTCCCAGTCCCAGGTGCTGAGGGCTGCTGGCCAGCGTATGGCTAAGGCCATTCAACAGCTCAGCGGGGAGAGTTTGCTCCAGCTTAAGGAGTGTCTGCTGTGCTGTTCCATTTCCCTGCCTCTCCTCCTCCTCCTCCCAAACAGCTTCCCAGGGATCTTGGGAGAAAGTCCAAAATGTTCCATGTGGCCCCATGGCCCTCAGCCTCTCCCCAGCCTTGTCTTGTGGGAGTTTTCCTCCGGGTCCCTTTTCTGCTCCCTCAGA